GTGGAAGAGAATCACAGATCAAGAGAAAATGAGCAATGAACTTGTGCGAGAAATTACACACAAAGCTGGGGAGGGGAAATGATTGATTGGACGGGCCAAAGGAGAATGACATCATGGATTTTGTTTATTCTCGATGGTAAGCGGCGCGTGGCCTTTTAGCCTGCCGTGTGATTTCACATCGGATTGTTTTCTAATATGCTTTGATGACACGTCCTGAATCCAATTACTCACCCCACAAATAACATGAACAAACTCAGCACATTGCGGAGTGTTTTAATGGAGGCGGCACCGGTGTCGTCTGAAGATCATCACACACACACACACACACACACTCTCCAAACCTGTGATGTATCATCATATCCAAAACCTGTGATATATATATTACAAACTCATAATGCTGCTCTTTAAAATAAGGCAAAGCGGCCTTAGTGTCTGCTTCAGTCTCATTCAATGCCACTAAACGCCACAGCGTCTGCTACAGTAATCAACTTGTTTACGTATGGACTACTTATAAATAAAGGCTCTTAATATGGGGATTTTTAGATCATTTGTGGTGATGTGAAAGTAGTGTTTTTGATAAATCTTTCAAATGTGACATTATATCCATTCACAATAAAGAAATGTCTATCTATCTATCTATCTATCTATCTATCTATCCATCTATCTATCTATCTATCTATCTATCTATCTATCTATCCATCCACACCTATTTATCCATCCACCTATCTATCTATCTATCTATCTATCTATCTATCTATCTATCTATCTATCTATCCATCCACACCTATTTATCCATCCACCTATCTATCTATCTATCTATCTATCTATCTATCTATCTATCTATCTATCTATCTATCTATCTATCTATCTATCTATCTATCTATCTATCCATCCACACCTATTTATCCATCCACCTATCTATCTATCTATCTATCTATCTATCTATCTATCTATCTATCTATCTATCTATCTATCTATCCATCCACACCTATTTATCCATCCACCTATCTATCTATCTATCTATCTATCTATCTATCTATCTATCTATCTATCTATCTATCTATCTATCCATCCACACCTATTTATCCATCCACCTATCTATCTATCTATCTATCTATCTATCTATCTATCTATCTATCTATCTATCTATCTATCTATCCACCCATCCACACCTATTTATCCATCCACCTATCTATCTATCTATCTATCTATCTATCTATCTATCTATCTATCTATCTATCTATCTATCTATCTATCTATCTATCTATCTATCTATCTAATTATCTATCTATCTATCTATCTATCTATCTATCTATCTATCTATCTATCCACCCATCCATCCATCCACACCTATTTATCCATCCACCTATCTATCTATCTATCTATCTATCTATCTATCTATCTATCTATCTATCTATCTATCTATCTATCTATCTATCTATCTATCTATCCACCCATCCATCCACACCTATTTATCCATCCACCTATCTATCTATCTATCTATCTATCTATCTATCTATCTATCTATCTATCTATCTATCTATCTATCTATCTATCTATCTATCTATCTATCTATCATCTATCTATCTACCCACCCATCCATCCATCCACACCTATTTATCCATCCACCTATCTATCTATCCACCTATCTATCTATCTATCTATCTATCTATCTATCTATCTATCTATCTATCTATCTATCTATCTATCTATCTATCTATCATCTATCTATCTACCCACCCATCCATCCATCCACACCTATTTATCCATCCACCTATCTATCTATCTATCTATCTATCTATCTATCTATCTATCTATCTATCTATCTATCTATCTATCTATCATCTATCTATCTATCTATCCACCCATCCATCCACACCTATTTATCCATCCACCTATCTATCTATCTATCTATCATCTATCTATCTATCTATCTATCTATCTATCTATCTATCTATCTATCTATCTATCTATCTATCTATCTATCTATCTATCTATCTATCATCTATCTATCTACCCACCCATCCATCCATCCACACCTATTTATCCATCCACCTATCTATCTATCTATCTATCTATCTATCTATCTATCTATCTATCTATCTATCTATCTATCTATCTATCTATCTATCTATCTATCTATCTATCTATCGTTCTATCTATCGTTCTATCTATCGTTCTGTCTTATATTCTATCTATCTATCTATCTATCTATCTATCTATCTATCTATCTATCTATCTATCTATCTATCTATCTATCTATCTATCTACCTATCTATCTATCTATCTATCTATCTATCTATCTATCTATCTATCTATCTATCTATCTATCTATCTATCTATCGTTCTGTCTTATATTCTATCTATCTATCTATCTATCTATCTATCTATCTATCTATCTATCCATCCATCCATCCATCCATCCATCCATCCATCCATGGTACGGTAATTTCTTCTTTTTCATCAAAATGACAGAAAAAACACTATTGACAGTGAGACTATCACCTGTAGTCGATGTAAATGTGTTTCACTCTTCTGATCCGATACTTACAATAAAGAAATAAAGAGAACATGGTAATTTCATTCACTATAAATGCTTCTTGGCAGCACAGATCTGACTAGTGTTCTCTGGGCAGCGCTGATGCTTTTCACACTGTCTTTCAAAGGCCTATCATTACTTTGAAACATAAAAGCTAGTGATGTATAGACATCCTGTCAAGATATAGAACTCCGTGTTATAGTGACATGCCACATTTAATATGGCGTCTTCACATCAAACCTTCCGTACACCGTAGAGCCTGAAACCCTTGAGCCTCTCATGCTTGTTTGCATTGGTGTTCGCTTTAAAAAAAGAATGCAAAAGGACAAAACATGAAGATGACTGGCTGAACGGTTTTACGAATGCAAAAACTTAAATGTATCGAGCAGCTGGTATCAAAAGTGAGCATGAAGTTTTCGGTTCTTGTCCACCAAACTAAAAAGGCATTTCTGACATTTGAAGGTCGTTCTCCAGTTCTTTTATCCCACTTAAACTCATGTGGAAAAAATCACCCGCAACTTGTCTTCTTTGTCACATAATGTCATATAATCAACAGCGATCTTTTCAACAAAGAGACTTCAACTTATTAATTTTTCCATCTATGCCTGGGCAAAGCCTCCAAATCAACATTCTGACTGGCTGTAATTGCAAAGCCACCATGGTTCGATACACATGACCTTTACTACCTTTAAAGCCATTTCCATTTCATACAAAAATGTCCTGTTAATTGCAAAAGGGGGAATAATTTGTTCACCATGCAGTGTTTTGAAGACAGTGTAAGAATTCATTTCCATCCTAATTTATCAATGCCATCGCCTGATGCCAAAAACCTTATTTTAAATATTAACGTGACTTTCCCGCTCAAATGTAAAATGGATCCGGCGTGGACCAACACAGGGAATCTTTATTGTGAGGCTGTGGGATTAAAGAGGTCAGTCAGGTCTTTTTTCACGTTTGCTGCTTTCAACAGTAAATGAATGCAACACACAAAAGATCAGTGTTCTCTAGTCTAGAGAAATGGGCTTAATTGTCATGGAAATGTGTTGATTTTTGGGGTGAAACATGACAGGTTTGGGGAGATGCATGTAGGCCACTCCGTTTTATAAGGAACCAGGCGCGCCGATTTCTCATCTTCCGTGAGTCTTTCATTCCCACCGACTGATTTTGTTCCGGTGCAAGCGCGCACTCATCATCAACAAACACGCAATCCTGCAGGAGCCGATGGGCGATTACGGAGAGAGCTTATCATCAGGCCGCGGCGGCGCAATCAGGAGAGCGCTTGATTGGCTGTCGAAGAGTTCCACGGGTTCCGATGGCACTGTATATCTGAATCTCTGAGGGCCCATCACGCAATCTTCAGAGTCATCAGGACTTCCTGTAAACAGCGTATTAGCCACAAAAATAACCGGCTGACGTCTGAGTGAACCGCTCTTTAAAACTGACGCTGTTAAAAGAGTTTTCTACATGTGTACAGTATAGCTGGATGTGCATGAAGCATTATTTCATTAACCAGGGGCAAGTTGTCACAGGGGTTATTTTATCTTATCACATTGACATACAGTAAGATGAAAAAAATATCTATATTTTTATGTAGCCAGGACACATTAAGTTGATCAAAAGAGACAGTAAAGACATTTCTAATGTTTCAAAAGATTTTTTATTTCAAATAAATACTGTTCTTTTGTAATATGCACTATTCATCCTGAAAAAAATATCTGTTTCAACATTGATAATAATAATAAATGTTTCTTGATCAGTAAATCGGCATATTAGAATGATTTCTAAAGGATCATGTGGCACTGAAGACTGGAGTAATGATCACAGGAGTAAATCATATTTAAAAATATATTAAAATAGAGAATATCTTGTTTTCAATATTTCAATATTTTTAATCAAACAAAGGCATTCTTGGGGAGCATAGGAGACTTCTTTTAGAAACATTACAAAAATGACCCCAAACTTTTATATGGATATATATATATATAATAAAAATGAGTGATGTTATTTTTCATAATGTCAGGTTGTCATATTTATATGTTAAATTCTGTAATTTTATGCAGCTTATTATTATAATTTCTGTGCCAAAATTGTTTGGTTTTCCACTTGAATTTTGGTTGTTGTTTGTTTATTTTACTAAATAAAATAATAAGAAATATTGCTAGGATTTAATACATTTTAAATGCCGAAATGTTGCCGAAGACTTTTATTTTAACTTGATTCAAATTAGGTGTCCAAATCAAATGTCACACTGTGACAACTTACCCCATACAATGCGACAACATGCCCCGTTAGGCTATAGAAGCAAATATGTGTTCAATGAACATTATATGTTCTGCTGGGCAATAACAGTAAAAATCATCGTTTTTTAATCTTTATAATCTGATTTTAGAAATATTCCCTGCAGTAAAAAGTGTGACAACTTACCCCGGTCGCTTATTCTGTGTGAAAAGAACGGCATGTGTGACAAAGTCGTTAAATTATGTTTATTTATGGAAGTTTTCTTGTACATAGTTCACCATGCAGTCTAACAGTAGCTATTTATCCACGTCACGTAACACAAACAGTAACACGAACATGAAGTAATATGACATCATTATACACCAAGGTTTGAACGTAGAGTTCACATATTTACAGATGCCCATTCGTCATTATCAGCCTTGCCGCACGTCTGCTTTCTCACCGATCGCAGGACACACAATGGGGTGAAGCAGTGTTTAACAAAATGTAGCAACTGCAAGGCACAAAATGTTTATACATTTCTTTGTTTTTCAGGGAGTAAAAAAAAAAAAATGGTATCGCATCAAACTGCCAAAAGATGATCACATGCCACACAACATCACACAACCGTCGTGTTGCATAGAAACTGTGGCGTTACGTCACTCGGCTAGAGAGGAACGTGAAGCCTGTTTGGGTGACCTATCTCGTTCGAGGCTGATCAGGACCGCATTACTGATTCATGGGGGCGACCCTCAGGTAACGTACCTCTATGCTTAGGCACCAAATACTTGAGCCTGTTTGGATGTCGCTAGTTGGTTGATCAGGTCTAGTATCATCAGGAATATGACAGAAGAGGCTTGTGAGTAGTCTACCATGTTGAAGCGTTAGGGTCGAGATGGAGGAAGACTGGTGAGGTAGCTCAGTCAAGAGTGGAGCTTGGAGGGGTAAGGTCAGCAAAGGTAAATAGTAAAGCAGCCAGGAGGAAGAGGATGAGGGTGCTGAGGATGAAGGACTTCGAGCTCTAAAGTGCCAGACTAATGGCCCATGCACTAACATCCAGTTAGGTGTCCGTTCCAGACCCCCACGTCACCATCCAGAGGTGGTGTTTGAGACTTCAGAGCCTTCACCAGCGCAGTCAGGGTTTACACACAGGGGTGGCTAGACTTCCAGTGAATCTCTGCAAAACACACACACACACACAGATTTACATTGTTACTAACTAAAAAGTAAAACTGCAGTGACTGCTGCTAACTCACAGATTTATAGGCTGTGTTGGGTGTAATTTATTATTGTAGTTAAACTACTTTCCCCTTGAAAAAGTAAAGGATTTCTGTCATTTAATTACAGTTACTTCTGATGTAAGTGCATTAAATGCTGTATAGACAATAGAACAATTCTACATAAAACTATAGTTAAAAAGCATGATGTAATGTGACTTTCTCCCTTTTAATACTTTGGTCAGTTCAAGAATAATTTACGCAATTTTATATTATTTATTTGAAAGGATTGAAAGAGGCGTTTCGTGTCTATCCTTGTATTGTTCAACTGGTTGAGGTTGATAAGGGATTTAAAAAGTAATTAGTAATAAGTAATGCAGTACTTTTGAGAGTAATTAGTAAAGTAATCTAATTACACTGTTGAATACTGTATGTAATTAGTAACTAGTAATTACATTTTAGAGTAAGTGCTCATAACAGACCTATCATTTAACAGATCAAAAAAATTACAATTATACAATATTGTGTGTGTGTGTGGTGTATGTATATATATATATATATATAGTATATATTAATTTAAAGGTTAGTAATTTATAATATAGTATAATATACAGTACACAGTAATTTATGCTTTTAATTTTAATTGATAAACAGATAGATATATAGACAGACAGACAGACAGACAGACAGATAGATAGATAGATGATAGATAGATAGATAGATAGATAGATAGATAGATAGATAGATAGATAGATAGATAGATAGATAGACATTGATAGATAGACAGACAGACAGACAGACAAATGTATAGATAGACAGATAGATAGACAGACAGACAGACAGACAGACAGACAAATAGATATAGATAGATAGATAGATAGACAGACAGACAGACAGACAGACAGACAGACAGACAGACAGATAGACAGATAGATAGATAGATAGATAGATAGATAGATAGATAGATAGATAGATAGATAGATAGATAGATAGATAGATAGATAGATAGATAGATAGATAGATAGATAGATAGACATTTGAATTAATTTAATTTTCTTTAAACATTATATATGGTACATATTGAACTGTGAAACTTGAACCAAGATGTTTTTTGTACAATAAAGCATTGCATTTGATAAGTATGTTTGTTTGTTTGGTCCAGGTCTTCTGTCATGTGACACTGCGGAACATTTAACAGTGTAGTGTGACCGCAGGGCTGACATCATAGTGTCTGTAGAGAAAGATAGTTGGTTCTCTCTGCCGTTTACCGTGTCCCTGGAGCCGTGGGCGTTTGCTGAAATGTGTCCGACCCACCAACTATTCAAAATCTTCAAGATGACCTTCCTTTTGCATCATATAACCGTTATCATTTGATCATTTATTTATGTGGTGGTTACATACCAAAACATTCATTTTTATATAATTTTTTTTTCCCAACCTAGTACTAGCTCAGTATTGTGTTGGCCATCTGTTAATTCCACCATATTACAACGTGTCGTATATTGTTTCAGTCGGGAGACTAAGAGAGTAGCTCTCGTTAAATTGTCCATCAGGTGTATATGCTTCTCATCAAGAGAAATGATTGCCGACCAACAGACATTCATTATTTCAACCCTGCGCTGATGAGGCCACAGCAGCGACCGAGAAAGAGACAGCAAGAGAGAAAGAATGAGAAAAATGAGAAGACAATTCAAAGGCTAACCCCATTGGATATATAGACCATGTTACGTAATGAATGCTTTTCAAACCAATTTACTGGTCGGGGAGTCATCATGTAGAAAGTACAGTGGCCTATAATTTAAACCATAACACTGTCGGTCCAGATCGGGCATTTGCGTCATCGTGAAGTGAGCCTTTAGGTTTTTATCAAGCAGAATTTCACAACCAGCAAGCAACGGAAAAAAAAAAAAAAACACACACAAAACAAACTCATTTCAAAACCCGCCACTAATAAATCATGCTAGCGTGCAGTATGGAGTGCACTGGAAAATGGGGTAGTTTGCAATGTAACGCTTGACGTGGAAAAGACCCTGTGGCTGTTTTTCAGCGGTGTGGTGGAAGTGGCCGGAAGGGAGAGGTTGTGTGTGTTGAAGCGAGTCCTATAGCACCTACCTTGACCTGAGGCTTGCTGCTGACTCTACTCCTTCCTATAGATGAGCTATCTGTCTGTGGACCGCTGATCTGAGCCCTGCAGCCCTCCACAACACCACTGATGCTCTCTGACCTTGCCAGCTGAAAGACAGAGGAAAAGAGAAATGCTACTTCCACAATTCATTACTTTTTGAACATTTCTTGTTTTGTGAAATTTCTTTCTTTCTTTCTTTCTTTCTTTACACTGCAGTTTTTAGAATTTAATGTAATTTCATTTCATTTATTGTACTTTTAATTTTGATCCAAGATGCCCATGTCATTCTTTCTTCAGTCGAAAAGAAATGAAGGTTTTTGATGAAAACATTCCAGGATTTTTCTCCATATAATGGACTTCAATGGGAACCAAACGGTTCAAGGTCCAAGAGACAGTTTCAGTGCAAACTACAAACTGTTCAAAGGGCTTTAAACGATTCCAGACGATGAACAAGGGTCTTATCAAGCGAAACGATCGCTCATTTAAATAAAACATAACAAAGTTTAAGTTTTATAAGCTCAAATGGTCGCCTTGCTCTGTTCTGTGATGCGCATTCGTGACTCTTTAAACTCGTTTATCAAAATGAACAAATCCTTTTCCGTGTCATTTGGTTCATGAACGAATTGACTCGGGAAAAGATTTGTTCATTTTGATGAACGAGTTCGAATAAGAGAGTCACGAACGTGCATCACAGAACAGAGCAAGGCGAGCATTTGAGCATATAAAACGTAAACTTTCGTCATTCATTAATTAAATGAGCGATCATTTCGCTTGATAAGACCCTTATTCATCGTCTGGAATCGTTTAAAGCCCTTTGAACAGTTTGCAGTTTGCACTGAAACTGTCTTTTGGACCTTGAACCATTTGGTTCCCAATGAAGTCCATTATATGGAGAAAAATCCTGGAATATTTTCATCAAAAACCTTAATTTCTTTTCGACTGAAGAAAGAAAGACATGGATATCTTGGATGACATGGGGGTGAGGAACTTATCAGCAAAATTTTTTTTTTAAGTGAACTACTCCTTTAAGCTTGTATTTCTGTGTCAATTGAGTCACTAAATGAAATAATAATAATAATAAACAGTTGCATCATCTTCCATTGGAAAAGTGTTTACACACAGGTCAACCTAAAAATGTATTGATTTGTTCTTATAATAGTTATTTGGCACAGAATATTTGACAATGAAACGCACAGCAATAAATTACACTAATTTGAAATTGAAATTGTCTTAATGTGCTAAAGATGTTTTACATTAAAAATGATCACCCTAAATATTACTATTAACTCCATTTGCACTGTTTTTATAATGCTTATTTGACACTATTCACATTGGAAAACAAAAAATACAGAGAGAGAGATACTGTAGATAGAAACATGAACAGACTGAGGTAGATATGGATGTTAAAAAAAGATGAAGATTGTAATAGATCCCTTTCTGTCTTCATACAAAACCATCCAGCCATTTTTATGAAATCAATACGTCCACTGAAATTCAATCGATGACTTAAGTCAAATGAATTCTGTGTTTTCAGTCTCAATAATTATCTGGAAAGTAGGAACTTAATTTGCCTGATATAAGGTCAAACATAGGATTTGCAGACAGAGTTGGAACCAAGCTGGGAGAAGTTTGCATATGAAATAGAAAAGTACTTAAAAAGAACACAAATACATGCTAATTCAGTCATGAAATTAAGTAATGATCCTCGGCGCATTCTTGCTTATGAATCATAATATAATCTGACTGATTATGATTATTCTGTTCTGTAGACCTTAAAATTTTAAATCTACGCCTGCAAATCCTTCTTCCATTAGCACTTCAGGGGAAAAGCGCAGGGGAGGGGTGAGAGAATGAATAAAAATCCCCTCTTAAATATTTAGTCAATGAGATGAATTCAGCAGAAACGCACACCGCTCTCATTACAAGCAGATAGAGAGCACGGTGCAATGTCGAAACACACCTGTTTATGAGTCGACTTGGCTTCCTGTGGAGAGCGGCGCCCTTTCCCAACGTTCTTCTGTTTCATCAACTGTGAAGCAGGAGCCCTTTCATCGCTATCAGTCTTCCTTATCAGCGGACAGTTAATTTTGGGATTAATATAAAGGCTGCCATCCTCTTTTAAAGGATTTGTAGTGGAGCAAGAGACTCTTATCTTAGTCATTACAGGGGAAATATTGGATTCAAGCATTTTAGTATCTGCAAAACATTCAACAGTATCTATTGGGGTTTCACATGGTAAAGGATTAAGATAAGGCGCCTCATTATGGCACTCTGACTGGCTACCAGCTACACTTCCTTGAGAAATACCATGCGCTTTTTGGTATTCATCGCAACCCGGGCTCCGGAGACCCAGGGCCTCTATTAGCTTGTGTCTCGTGGGCCGTTTGCTAATGGACATGCTGTAACAGAGAGGAGGGCCCAGGTACACTTCCTCCGTGCAGGCCTCGAAGAGCGGCTCTTCGTCGCGGATATCTGGCGTGCTCGAAAGGATCGGGCTGCTGCTCTTGTCCTCCGCACAGGTGCTGACCTCTCCGCAGTCACTATCGTGCGAGGACAGCGACAGATAGGAGTAGAAGTCGCCCTTCCGCAAATGAATAAGCCGATGGGAGTGCTCGAGGACCTTCTCTCTGATCTGAGACACAGACGCTGGGCTACGTACCTCCGTCGGCTGCTCTCCCTGCATCTCTTTGGTCTTCAGGGCCACAGATGTCATGTCAATGATCTCCATCACAAAGTCATGGACGTTGTCACTCTTGGCCTCTTCACACATGAAAGCAGGGGGACTGCAGCTCTCTGAAGAGCAGCTTTCTTGATTGTTCTCGTGGACGTCATTCAGGAAGGCAGCGAGCTGCTTCTGTCGGCTGTGAGCGTGAGCGCACTCCTCTACGGGAGAGATGGTGGGGGAGGGACGGCGGAAATTGTGACAGGGCAGCTCACCTTTTAACTGTCCTTCCAGGGAGCTCAAGCTCTGTTCGCATGAGGATGGAGGAGAGCTGGCGGTCAACATATTGCTTTTGACGTCATTGATAGAGCCTTTAAATGACTCCCCTTTCTTGGTCAGCAGACTTCCCTCCTCTCTCAGCAGCTCGTCGTCTTCATCCTTCCCTTTGACGTGAGAGCTCTCGACATTGCCGTTTTCCATGTCATCCACGAAGCGGCTGATATAGCTCCTGGTGGCGTCCCGGCGGTTTCCGTCCACCTCCTGTTGCTTGAGGCTCTCGTTTTTAGCATTAGTGTTGGCTTCCAAGAGTTTCAGCGCAGACCGGCTGAGAAACTGCCGATCGTTAGTAGTCTTAATGGGTGACAGGATGTCTCTAGACAGGGTGCCACACTGCAGTTCATCCACTAGATCTGCCTCGTTTTTCTCTCTACTCTGAGATCTAGGCTTTATCCAGCTTTGAAACTCATCCTTTATGTAATCCAACCCGAGAGTGAAGGAACCTTCAATGTATTCTTCCTCTGAGGTCACACTCGAGTCATCATCTTTAATACCAAGCTCCTCTTCGGTGAGCGTCAGAGTGGAGCTTGAGAGAAGATCGCTGTCTTCCTCGTCGTCAGTACAGGCTGAAGTGCAGGAAACGTTGACAACCATACTGATGCTCGCGTCAGTCTCGTCGGTTTGTTGCTGGCTGCGGCAATGTTTGCGGAAGGACGCATTTGAATCAGCAGCGGTGCAGCGGTTCATTTGCACGGCTAGGTCCTCGGATGCCACGGACAAGTCCTCTGTGCTGCTCAGCTCTGTCAGGGAGGCTGCTGAGCTCTCGTTAATGGAGGACGGAGCGCCAGCTGAGCGTGACCCACGCCACAGCGAGCTGCTCTGGAGCGTAACGTCAGAGACGCTACGTGTCATCTTCAGAGCAAGAGGGCTTTGGATGTTCTCAAGGCGTTTTAGAAGATCCAGAGTTCTTCTGCTGAGTTCTCCTGTTGGCTCCACAGTCGATCCAATGTCCCTCAGACTTTCCTTACTCCCTGCGTCCTCCGTGCTCTTACATGGAGCGAGCCAACTTTCCAGTGAAGTGCTACGAGTTAGTGTCTCTTTGCTTGATGGGAATAATTCTCCTACTGCGTAAAGGGAGTCAAGGGAAGACCCCTGGGAGAGCTGTGCAAACTCCTTTTGGAGCTTTTGGTTTGTGGTCACCGTCTCGTCATCTCTGCTCATGTTGAGATTTTTTTCATTAGCCTGTTGGCTTAATTCAAGGTCATTGGCAAGGATCTTCACCGGCTCCTTGTGGTGATTCTTCCTGTTTTCTCCACCATCTTCTCTTTTCTTTCTCATGATATGCAATCTCTGGTCTCTCTTCCCAGTGCTAAGACTATCGACGTATTCAGCACACTTGTTGGCGCGCTCCAAAACTCTGTCTATGTCTTCATCTGAGACTCTGTCTCCATTGAGTGAATCTTCTGTGTTCGGAGGGGTGAGAGTAACGCAAACTTTTGGATCATCACTCTGGAACAGCAGGCACAGCTCAGAGTTACCTGTGGTCTCCGTGTCCCCTTCACTTACTATCCCACTTTCGCTCTCTGATCTCTTGGCTGAATTCGATAGCAGCTTGTGCTTCCCCTTCAACAGGTCTCCCAAGATATCAGGTAGAGATTCAGCTGAGGAGAAGGAGGAATCCATGCTCAGGCTCTTCAGCAGTGACGGCTGGACTTTGGATGAAAATGATTTGTGATTATATTGGGGTTGTTGGTAGAGTTCAACATTATCCAGACTGTACACCTGATAAACACAGGAAGATGAGCCATTCGACTTTGCTGTGCTCAAGGCTGCTCCGCACCGCATTTCATTTGGGCATGACTCTGTGAGATTCAAAGGCTCCTTTGGGGAATTAAGGTGTGATTTAGATTCAGGATTTTGTTCATCTTCACAGTCCTGTGTCTCCAGATTGCAGATAGTCATGTCCATCTCGTCCCACTCCCAAGAATCTTCTGCCAGCCCATGGAGGTCCATAAGCGAAGGCTCAATGAGGTTCCCAGGGACCTGTAGGAGGGGAAACAAAATGTCAGGGGCAAAGAAATTCTCAATTGGACTTTTAATTAGATCAAATACAAAGTTAAAGGGTTAGTTTTTTATTATGTCATTAATGACTCACCCTCATTCTGTCCCTCCATTGAAAATGCCTACACGGTATACTGTCCTTGTCCAGAAAGGAAATAAAGACATCATCAAAGTAGTCCATGTGACATCAGTGGGTTAGTTAGCATGTTTTGAAGCATCGAAAATACATTTTGGTCCAAAAATAACAAAAACTATGACTTTATTCAGCATTGAATTCTCTTCCGGTTCTGTTGTCAATCCGCGTTCACGAGTCCGCAGTGACGCTGCTGACAAGTTATCTGGTGCGTCCGAGTATTCGGGTTCAAATAAAAATGGCTGGGCAAAAAAATGCAAGTCTTCCTCTGTGTCGAAATTCTTAGACATGTTTGCGAAGATTGTTTTGTTTACAGCGTGTGTCCCTCAGACTGTAAATGAAGCTCGGGCACACAGATAACACTCAACGTGGATTGACAACAGAACCGGAAGAGAATACAATGCTGAATAAAGTCGTTGTTTTTGTTATTTTTGGACCAAAGTGTATTTTCGATGCTTCAAAAAATTCTAACTAACCCACTAATGTCACATGGACTACTTTGATGATGTCTTTATTTCCTTTCTGGACAAGGACAGTATAGGGTACATGCATTTTCAATGGAGGGACAGAAAGCTCTCGGATTTGATGAGCTTCCGGAGATGAACAAAGGTCTTACAGGCTTGGAACGACATGAGAGTGAGTCATTAATGACATAATTTTCATTTTTGGGTGAACTAACCCTTTAATCTGGGACAAATATATTTTTGCTTAGATATGGGTATTCAGTGCAGCACATAATTACACAAATTGCTTTGCTTCTTGTTCAAGCAGGAAGAGTCTATTTATATGATCCTCTCTATCTCATTAATCTAATAAACTGGAAAATCTAACACTTGCTTTGTATGTCGTCGTATATCCCATAAAATGAATTTTTATTTGATTTCTGTTTATTCTCTTTCTGCTGATGAGGAAAATACTAATGCACAAGCTTGGATTGCTAGTGCATGATAAAAACCCTCAACTGTGAGAACAATCAATCAGTCTAATCAAATAAAAAATTATTTCAATAAGCTGCCTCAGCTAACATTTGCACCCCGATTGCAGCACATAACATTTTAATCAGATGGACTAATTATAACCTTTAGCTACACCATTACAAAAGTCATTTTGCCAAGTTAAACAAGACAGTCCAGTATGGCCTAAAAGATTTCTGAATGTCTCTTTAAAACGTGAGAGTGAAATCATGCAATAACTTGACGGTGTCTCAACTCTTTTTATACGTTTCTTTCGCTGGTTTACCACTCCCTTCAGAGTGGATGAAAGTTAACTGAAAAACCATTATATCTTTCGTTGACCTTCAAACTGAATTCTTGATATTCTAAAGAGAAAAAAAATCCTGCTAAAAGTGTAACGATTGGATTTTTTTACTTTCAGACACAAGACTTGTTGTGAGCAAGGCCTCCTGAAGCATTCAACAGTCAGCTATTTCATCATCTCACAAAGTGTACTGTATTCACAAAAACAAACTCTACCTATTATTTTTCTTTTCCTTTATTCTGCACCCGCAAAAAAAGTGAAATTGCACTTCAGCCCCGCAAGGTCAAGCTGAGAGAGGGGCGAGTAATTTGTCTTCCCCGTGTAAGTGAGTGGACGTTCACAAACAGGTTGCTGGGCTTTTCTGTGTGAAGCATGCAGCCTCCCCAGAGCCCTGCTGCTGCCATGCAGGAATGCACAGCATCTACATGACAAAAGGCCAAGTCTAGCCCTTGGCCCACTCCCCTGTTTAACACGAACTGTAACGGTCCCACACATACAATAAGAGACTAGTTAATGGTTCCGTTTTCAGGATGGGAAGCCTTTTTATACTGTGGTGAACACGGTATTTGCACATGTTATGTGCTTTATGAGACTACTTCCTTCCTTTCAGAGCAGGACAGGAACACAAGATCAAGTTATTTCCTTACATTATGTCTGTATATAGGCCTAGTGTTGTTTTTGTTTGTATTTCAAAATGTAATATGATATGCAACTGCAATCGCTCGGTCATGTCCATTCTTGTGTGAACTGATTGTTTTTTGTACTGTTATTGTGAAGTGTCCTTGAGCTTGGGAAAGGCGCTATATAAATTAAACGTATTATTATTATTAATATTATTCCTCGATATACATTAAGAACAGTCAGTTACTTCTGGCAGCATTTGTAATCGATTGAGTTCACAGTACAGTGAGTATCTGGGGAGCACATCTAGCCACTGTCCCCTTACTCTGTGTATTCAAGAATAATATGTGGCCACTTTCCCTGCCTTATACATCATTCTTATTACACGGTTCCAGCAGTGCTGCACTATATTATTGGTACTAGTGTATCTCTGCTTAACATTGGCCTGGGCAGCTTTCTTTGACCAGAGCAACACATAAGGAGATCAGACGATTCCAGTTGGTTGAATAAAATATATATCCGCATGTTGAATTATAATGGTTGCATAAGAATCCAGAGGTAATGTAAACAGATATTAAAATCTCCTTATTGACAAAATATGTAAAAAATCAAGACAATTTTATACTAAAAAAACACTGCAAATTATTTACGTCATGATGGATGCACAGGTCATGTGACAACAACATACAGTAGCAAACTATTGTTTATCATTGCATACTGAGATTAATTCACATAAAAAATACGTTATGGCCACTGTATGCTATTTGCGCTGGTATAGCACTCAGTCAGTCATGCATATTTAAATTGGACAAATTACTTACACACTGCACCTTTTTTATCATTATAGAAAACTGGTTGTAAACCATTTTGTTTAATTAAAAGAGGCATTTTTGTGTATTTGCAAGAAAAATTGCACCAATTTGCATAATTCCTTGCTAAATAATTAAAAAAAATAATATAAAGTAAACATAAAATAGTATGCAGTAAACAGTTTGCTAGTATGCCACTCCACCACTAACGCAATTAAACCGATCTCTGACAGCGCTAACCTGTTTATATTCACAATACATATGTTCTCTTGTTTACTTGTATCTGTAGTGTAAAGCATATGTGACCTGGTCTCTGCCCAGCGAGTGTTTCAGTCTGGTCTGCCACTGAAGGACCTGCATGACGATGGCCTCCCAACGTCTCTCCAGGTTGACCTGCAGCAGCTGCAGTGACTGGTGCTCTGCCTCTGAGCTCTGCTGTTCAGGCCCATCCAGCAGCCTCTGACAGAGCCTCAGCACGGAGGAAATGCCCTTCCGTCTGCCCCGCACCTCCATACACAGAGCCTGCGGAGACAGGAGCGGGACAGTCTTCTCACACACTCATAGATTGTCTTAGTAAACAGGGTTAAACATCCCTGTCATCAGGTTAACGGGGCAAGGTTCATATGTTAATGCCAAAGAGTTTTACAAAAGAACACAACTAAAGCTACAAGCTATTTTTTAAAACTACAGTCAAGTAAGCCATTTGAAAAAGTAGTTAGCTATACAAGAAGTCTGAAGCTACTTAAAGTGTTATTTCACCCAAAAATGAAAATCATGTCATAAATTACTCACCCTCGTTCCAAACCAGTAAGACCTTCGTTCATCTCTCAGATTTCATCAAAAATAATTTGTGTTCTGAAAATGAACAAAGGTCTTACGGGTTTGGAACGACATCAAGGTGAGTAATTAATGACATAATTTTCATTTTTGGGTGATCTAACCCTTTAAGGGAGCTTATATAAATTAACTGGAGTAATTATCTGCCATAAAACACTGATATCATTTAGAGTGAAAGCATAAACCTAAAAAACATAAAACAATCTAAAAAGAAAATAAAAACACAAATTTATATAAATTCATACTATAAAAAAATAATTAAAAAACACTGTGATTGACAGAAATGAATACAAATCATTAATAAAAAGCCATAAAAACAAAACTGTACTAAAAAAAAAAAAAAAAACAGGGTTGTTTCAAATCATGTTTGGCTCAAATATGGACAAACCCAAGCGTTGGGTTAAAAAATTTAATGTAAAAATTTTAACCAAAGGTTGGGTTTGTCCACATTTGACCCAAATAATAATAATAATACCCCCCCCCCCCCCCCCCCCCAAAAAAAAAAAAAAAAACACAATTGAAATTAATTGAATTAATGAGATTAATTGATAAAAAGCTGTATAAAAAACTTAACTGATAGAAAAGAGTACAAACAAATATATATATATATATATATATATATATATATATAAAATAAATAAATAAATAAATGCTGGGCTAAATTGATAACTAAAAATGGATCTGCAAATATTTATTTCTTTTTTTTGTAGCAGATCCATTGACATGAACTGTCCAAATGAAAAAAAAAAAAAATACAAAATGCAAAATTGATTAGATTTGTTCGAAATAATGATGCAGAAGTTACATTTTTAAAACATTTAATGTTACTGAATATTTAAAAAGATGAAAAAAATGTTGCTCAGGGACTTGGGAATACTACTGAGTGATGATTTGTTCGAACCATCCGAACAAAATGATTCAAATGAAATGAATCGCTAAAATGAATCTGTCTTCCCAAAGTTACTTGAAAAATGAAGAGATCCGTTCTAACAAAGTGTGTTAATATAACAAAATTATAATACAAAAGGAACAGAAATTGTGAAAAAACACCTTGATACAGATACTGAGCTACAACCACTCTACTGAAAAATGTAGTGCGGTCTGCTAAAAAACGACTTTTAACGAACTCTTCTCCAACATTTGCCACAACTACAACATGGGGTTTTTATTGCTAGTCATGTATGTGAACTCACTGAACCTCAGAGCCATGAATGAACATAGTGAATGAAGAGAGAGAGAGAGAAACTGACACTGAGAGAGAAAGAGAGACTCCCGTGCGCTTGATGAGGTCTCCGCAACAATTCAGGCTGTCAGGAGCGTGTAAATCACATCCCCCTCTCCCTATAAACACGACAGAATTAAATATTTAAAGGCCAAAGCTGCACTCCCATGCTTCAGTGTCCAGCTATGACACTTGTTTAATGAAACCGCCAGAGCATATAGACTCTCCCAAAGACGACAACGCCGCGTTTTGGAGGGATTGCAGGTATTCTGACGGTCTCTCACCAGCACCAAAACCCCTTTTAAATATGCAGCGGCAGCTTTGCGAAAGAGACGGTGATACTCCATGTGTGGTATGGGACGAAGACATTCAGAGAACAATTTATGCAAATCCCACCAGCCTCGGAAAGCACCGCCTTACATTTTCTGTACATTTTTCAATAAATATTAAACACCATTACATTTCACCATTACATTTAAATTGGATTTTATTTTTCCCGGAGTGCTTCGCTCCTCTGTTTTAGCATATTTCCCTCTCCCGTGTCTTTTAAACAGGTAATGAGACTGTAAAATTCAATGGCGGCGTGCCTGAGAGGAGGCCGAGGAGCAAACATGCTGTGATAGAGTTATCATGCCCAAGAGTTGAAACTTTTGACAGATAGAAAGCAAACGTGTGAGGAGATGGAAAACTGACACTCAAATGGACGGTGTATGGGAAATGTGGTGCCCTAGCTTCTTAAAGACATGCAAATATCTTATGATAAAAGCACATGACTTGTTCAGCCTCTGATATCAGCTTCAGATAAATGCCCACCAAACATGTGATGAATTCTGCCCACAAAAAAACACAAAAACTACGTGAGACTATTTTATTTGGCAACTACACGTTAGCAGGAATTTATCACACGTTAATAGACTAGACTGAGAATTTTGTCTTATTCTTCAACCAAAACATCTACAAATAGTTAACACAAGATATTTACTTGAAAAGCAGCACTGCTTGCAGACTTGTTTTAATAGATTGGCTCTTTAATATAAGTGTATTTTGTCTCACTTCACTGGCAGAGTTTTATTAAGTAACAAAGTAAAATAAGTAATACGAGTGTATTTTTTTTCTCACTGCACTGGCAGATGTTTATTACTTTTTCTTCTTTTACTCGATAACCGTACTAAATAAAACTCAGCCAGTGCAGTAAGACAACACTCGTATTTAAGATACAATCTAAACATGACTCAATATCCTATACAGCAAATGTAGCTTGTTTTAAGGACTTTTAGATATTTTTACTGAAAAAAGGATTTACAAAAAAACTCATTTAGAAGTATTTTTTTTGTTAATAGACTATTAGAATTCAGAATAAAACTTAGAATTTTTTTTAAACATAACTGGAAAGACATTGTGACAAATAAGCATTCCTTTAAATAACAGAAAAGATGTAAAGATTTGTTAAATTGCATGTAGGGCTGTCTCGATTTCTCTATTAAATTCGAGAACCTGATTTTTAAAAATCCTCGATTAACCGGAAAAAAAAATATCGGAAGAGGCGTATTCCACGGACGAGAATCCATGAACCATTATTAGTTTTCAAAGGCTGCACGAATCAATATATTCAAACTAGTGCCGTCAAATCGATTAATCGCGATTAATAACATCTAACATAAAAGTTTGTGTTTAAATAATATATATATATATATGTGTGTGTGAGTGTGTATATATACATACAAACATACAGTCTCTCACAAAAGTGAGTACACCCCTCACATTTCAGCAAACATTTTACACTCTAAAAAATACTGGGTTGTTTTAACCTAAATTTGGGTCAAATCTGGACAAACCCAAATGTTGGGTTAAAAATTACCGTTGAAAGTTGGGTTAAAATTTTAAATGAAATTTTTAACCCAACATTTGTTTGTCCATATTTGACTCAAATTTGGGTTAAAACAACCCAGCATTGTTTAGAGTGTAGTATATCTTCTCAAGGGACAATCCTATAGAAATGAAACTTGGATATATTTTAGAGTAGTCAATGTGCTGCTTGTAGAGCAGTATATATTTACTGTCCTCAAAATAACTTAACATACAGCCACTATTGTCAAAATAACTGGCAACAAAAGTGAGTACACCCAAAGTGAACATGTAAAAACTTTGTGTGAGCACCAGTGTTATCTAGCACTGCCTTTGGAGTTCACCAGAGCTGCACAGGTTGTTGCTGGGATCCTCTTCCACTCCTCCATAATGACATCACGGAGCTGCTGGATGTTGGACACATGGCACTTCACCATCCGCTTGAGCATGCCCAGAGGACTCAACTTCTTTGATTGACCCTTGCGAGACCTCTTCCAAGTGGAATCCGTCTTGGAAAACATCTGTAAGTCGCTGGCCTGTACTGTAAGTTTCAGGGTGTTACCGGTCAACTTTGTGGAGAGCAACAATTCTCAAGTTCTTTGCTATGCGGTGCCATGTTGAACATCAGTGGTCAGTATGAGAGAATTGCACTCAAAACACAAATCTGAACTGCTCTACTACAAGATGCACAAATTTGTATGGTCCTGTCAAGCAGACCAAAAAACATGAACATGATGAATGGGACATGTGGCTTTGCATGGTTAAATAACGTACAGCTGTTACCACTTTTTGTTGCCAGCTATTTTGACAATAATGGCTGTGTGTTGAGTTATTTTGAGGACTGTAAATATATACTGCTATACAAGCAGCACATCGACTACTCTAAAATATATCCAAGTTTCATTTCTATAGTATTGTCCCTTGAGAAGATATACTAAAATGTTTGCTGTAATGTGTGCGGGGTGTACTCACTTTTGTGAGATACCGTCTACACACATATATATATGTACATAATATATACACACAATTGTGTTATATAAACACAAACTTTTATGTTAGACGCGATCAATCGATTTGACAGCCCTAATTAAAACCATTTAAAATCATAATCTAGCATAGTGCTATTGTGAAATCACAAAAGCTGTTATTCAGTTAAATAAATATATGTGCTGCGGCCGGTTTTCAGGACTTCGGTTCACAGTAAATGCTACTCCACACAAACTCAGTCTCTGCATGTGCTGTTTGTTTGAGTTTCCAATAGTGTGCATTTGGGAACGTATAAAGTCTGACAGGATTTGTGTTTCATAGAGCAGAGTTGCACTGTTATCATCTCAGCAGCTCGGTTAACAAACTCCAGCGCTGCATATGCTTTGAGTTTGGGCTGCTTATAACGTTCATCTGGGAATGCATCGCGCGCCATTTCACCAGATTTGTAATGTAAATCATAATGGGAAGAAATCACAGGATAATAAATACATCAGTTTCTAAACATGCAAACCGTTGTTTGTCGTGATTTCAAAATATATGTTTAAACCTTTGCACTGAATTTACATGTCCACATGGTAAAGAAATGACGTTATTGGTTGCAGCATTTCTATCATATAAAGAAGTGGCCAAA